CCCGGGAAACCCCCCCCCCCCCCCCCCCGCCTTGGGAGGAGCCTTCTGGGAAATGCTGCTCTGGCCCGCAAGGAACATGAGCCCTGCAGCCCCGGTAAGAAGTCTCTGGGATAGGAGGAAGGGCCCACTGGCAGGGTGGGTGCCCTTTTCAAACAGGGGATCAGACCAGGAGCCTCTCAGGCCCTGACAGGCCTTGTCCTCTGAATGGCATCTTGGTGTTGCTTGTAGGTGGGGGTTTGTGGCTGAGCTAGTCAAGGAAATGATCCTGGAAGGGCAGTCTGAGGTGGTAGATACAGAAAGTCTTCTTTCCCCAGTTGGGTCCCCTTCAATCCATTGTTGACTATCCTACAGGTGCCTTTCCCATCCAGAACTCCTCCCTCCCAACTCCTCATCTTGAAACCCCCAACCTCTAGCTCCAGTCACTATGTCATAACATCCAAGCCCTTGAGCCTATCATCCAATGCCTTCGTGTTATATCCTTGCAACCCCTGCAGCTTCATCGGCTACCACTCCCCATGCCCTCCACACCCCTGCACTCTACTTGCCAAACGCAGCTAAATGCTGGACACTCTTTTTTAATCCTCATCCAAGGACATGCTTAGAGAGAGGGGGGGGGGGGGGGGAGGAAACATCCATCGGTTGCCTTCACTATGTGAGCTTTCACTATGTGCCCCAACTGGGGATCGAACCCTCAACCCAGGTATGTGCCCCAACGGGAAATCGAACCCGCAACCTTTCCGTGCACAGGAGGAAGCTCATCCCACTGAGCCACTCTGGTGTGCCTGCCGCACTCTTTTAAACTTCCTTGGTTAGTGTGCACATGAGTCTCCTAGGTTTCCTTCTCATCCTTCAAAACCCTTCTCGGCCTCCTCTGGGAATCCTTGCCGAACGTCTTGGGCAAAGCCAGGCTCTTCCTCCCCATTGTTAAGTCACACCCTCATTGTGTGTTCACGTTGTCTCCCCAGCCAGACTGGAAGCTGGGAAAGAGAAGGGCCTTGTCGGATGCCTCTTCGCATCCTCCACCAGTGCCCAGTGTAGTGCCAGGTACAAACTGAATATTGAGAAAACATGGTAAAACCAGGAGCCTGGCTTCTCCTTGCAGCTTTACCTTTTTTTTTTCCCCCTAGAAAATGAGTTCAAGATTCTTAGAAAAAGGTATTTCATGATAAATAAGTGAACAAACAGCAAAACAAAATCGCAGGTGCGGCCTCTCACCTGTGCTCCGGGTCAGAATAGGGCACCACCCAGGGGCGGTTGCGCACTGCTGGGTTCCAGAGCCGCAGACTACAAGTCCCAGAAGGCCTTGTGATAGCACGGCTCTCCACGCCACGCCCCCTCCCAGGGGGTAAGGCGGGGCCGGAGGGCGGGGCTCAGGGGCAGCGAGTCCCGGGCCGGGCGTGGTCTGGAGAGTGATCTGCCCCAGTAGCTCTGGGGCGCACACAGCGCAGGCGCAGCGGGTTGGGTGGCAGCAGCATCCAGTAGCGGCTGTCTTGGCAGCAGCATCCTGCAACAGGTGTAGACAGGTGGGTGCATCGGGGGAGGCTGGAGAGGGAGTTTGCTTGCACCTGGCCCTCTTGTCTTACCTGTGTCAGGGCTTGGAGGTGGGAGGGAGCGGCAGGAGAAGCAGGGACAAGGCCGGGCCTGCCAGCCCAGGTGTGCCAGCCCTTGCTACGCAGCAAGTGGGGGAGGGGCAGAGGCACCTGATCTCAGGTAAGTTGCCCTTAGGAATAGAGTACACCTAGATTCCAACCCAAGTTCCATCACGTACATGAACAAGTCAATGTATTTATCGCTCCGTTTGTGGATCTGCAAAATAGAGGAGTAAATATCCTACTCGTCTAACAGTTACAGTTGGGACAAGGTAAGGTGGTATAGTATGTGCAGTGGTTCCCAAACTTTGCTGCACGTTGAGTCGGCTAGGGATCTTTTAAAGACTATCAGTGCTTGCTTCCCACCCCCAGACATTCTGAATTAGTTTTTAATTGAGTATGACCTGGGCATCTGGAGTTTTAAAAGCTCCTGCTGGTATAATGGTTAGAAGCTAGGACTGCTGGGTGTGAGTCCTGGCTCCATTGCTTACTAGTCAAGTGGGTCTGCACAAATGACGACCTCTCCCTGCCCCAGTGTCCTGGGTGTAACAAGGTTCGTGGTGAGACTTCTATAAGGTAATAGACGAAAGCACTGAGACGTGTGCCTGGCACAGTGCGCAGTCAGCCAGCTGCTGTGGAACCATTATTTTATGCGCTTTGTGAACGGCTCAGATGAGGTTCAAGTGTGAGGAGGCTTTTCTTATTACGAAGGTCCCTCGTTTGTTGCTGTGATTCTAATATTCTGTGCTGCCAGCCTTTCAGAATCCCAGGGTTTCTAACATTTTATGAGTTACTCACTCCAACCTCTACCTGCCTCCCAGTCACACCTCTACGGGTCTAGAAAGAAAGGCCAGGAACAGGGGACCTGGCCAGGGTTATGGAACTCAGATTGGAATCCAGACTCCTGACCCCACCCCCACCCCAGCACAGTGGTGGCTGCTCCGCTGACCCCACAGGACAGTGCTGCCATTCTCTGCCTGGAGCAGAGTGGGGAGCAGAGTGGGGAGGAGAAAGGCAGGCTTGCCTTGTTTGTTTACTGACACTCCTTTAAACCTTCCCTGTTCCCTGGGTGGTTCCCCGAGGGAGGACAGGGCTGGGGGCTTCTCTCCCCGGAGCTGCTCTGGAACTGCTGATGAGGCCTGTGTGTCTTGTGGCTCCTCTGACAGGTCCCGCCTGACTCCGTCCTGGGAAGTCCTTTTGAAGAAATGGCCCTGGTGAGGGGTGGCTGGCTGTGGAGACAGAGTGAGTGACCCTGGGCCAAGCCTTGTGCAGGGGAAGGAGTGAGGAAAGTGGCTTATTGGGCCTGCCACAGTGAACCCTTCTCCCAAGAAATCAGGCCCTTTAAAAAAATAATAATAATAATTAAAAGAATATATACATATATGTTTTTTATTGATTACTAGCAGTGGTTCTCAACCTTCCTAATGCTGCGACCCTTTAATACAGTTCCTCATGTTGTGGTGACCCCCAACCATAAAATTATTTTCGTTGCTACTTCATAACTGTAATTTTGCTACTGTTATGAATCGTAATGTAAATATCTGATATGCTATATGTGTTTTCCGATGGTCACGACCCACAGGTTGAGAGCCGCTGGATTAGAGAGAGAGAGGAAGGGAGAGGAAGAGAGAGAGAAACAGAGACAGACATTGATGTGAAAAACATCGATCAGTTGCCTCCCGTACACATCCCACCCTGGATGGAACCCAGAACCCCAGGAATTGAACTGGTGACCTTTGGGTGCACAGGATGACACTCAGCCAACTGAGCCACGTGGCCGGAGCAACCAGGCCCTTTTTATCCTCCCCACCTTTGTCCATGCTTCTCCCTGTGCCTGGAATGTCCTTCCTATTCCTGACTGCCTGGCAAACTTCTACTTATTCTTCAAGACCCAGCTCAGATGTCCCCTCCTGTGAGGAGCCTTCTCTCACTTTTCCTCTAACCCCCACCCCAGCCCGTGCTGCAACACCAAACTGGGTTAGAGGCTCACCTCTCTGATCCCCAGTGCCTCATCCACACCTATTATAGCATCGATCTCCCTATAACTGTCTTTACCTGTGGGTGTCACCTCCCCCCACCCTCCACCCCATGCAGGCCCCAGACTGTGAGCTCTTCAAGGGCAGAGACTGGCTTCGATCCTCTGTGTGTCCACACCACCCCAGCCCATGGCTGGCCACGTAACAAGGCTCAGAACAAAATGAAAAATGCGCCTGTGCTTTGGAACCCATAAGGCTCTGAGAAGCTCTCTTATGTCTTTGCCCTTTCAGTTAAGATTGACAATCACAAAATGTCTGGAGCTAGGGCTCAGCTTCCAGACCCACGCTCTGATCAGAGTCATGATCTTAGGAAGAGCTCCTCTGGGCTAGGAGCCCCCTAATCCCCTCCATGACCTATTTTCAGTCATTTGGTTCAGGAAACACTGAGTCCAGGTCCAGCTGTGGACCCTGCCTCCCCCCGCCCCCATCTGATGGAAGAGGCAGACACTACATGAATGACCATCACACAAGTAAGAGATAAGAGCTAAGACAGAGGCTTATGGTAGGGAGAAGTCTTTGCCTTTAAAGAGACTTGGGGGATTAGCCTTGGAAGCCCTCAAGGGAGGAATCAGATCACTCATCTGCCATTCAAAATGTTTATGGAGCCCCTGCCATGTGTTAGGCCTAATGGGAGGCAATGGGTGAGCAAGACAGAAAGAGGACCTGTCGTCATTTCAGGGGATAGACAAGGGTGGTTGCAACTCCGAGGGTCTGGGGCCAGGGGACTCAGGGAGCCCATCCAGGGCTCTGGCCCCCAGCAGGCCCTGCGATCAGCCTGCCTGGCGGGTCTGGAATATCTCACAGGCTCGATCCTTCGCCGCTGGAAACGGAACTGGTTTGCTCTGTGGCTGGATGGGACCCTGGGCTACTACCATGATGAGAATGCGCAGGACGAGGAGGACCGTGTGCTTATCCGCTCCAATGTTCGCAACATAAAGATCGGCCAAGAGTGCCAGGGTGAGAAGCCCTTTCCTTTCGGGCACTGTGACTATGGGTACGGCCCTCCCATCATGTCTGTCCGAGAACACATGCATTGCAAGGGGCTGTGCCCCATGGGGACCCCTTATCTGTGTGTCTGCCTTTAGATGTGCAGCCCCCAGAGGGCCGGAGCCGAGATGGGCTGCTGACTGTGAGTCTACGGGAAGGCTCCCGCCTGCACCTGTGTGCGGAGACTCAGGATGACGCCATGTGAGTTGCTCCCAGGAGAGGATGGGATGGTATCCTAGGGAGTGTGATCAGATGCCTGCTCCTCGTTGGGACATTAGGAAGAGGGGACAGACAGACCAGTCAGGTTGGTGGGGGCTGGAGGAGTGGATTTGATGGCCCATGGTGATTGGTAAGGAACCCCGTTGGACTGTTGGGGGAGGAGTGTGCACACCTGCCTCAAGTGTGTGGCCCCTGATGATTCAGAGTCAGGTCTTTCGCAGTCTCTGAGGTGAGCCCTCGCTTAGGAGTGATACAAAGGAGCAGAGCCCTGTGGCATCCTCAAAGGACCCTCCTTCTGAGATGATGTCCTGGTTGGAGACTGATCTGAGGAGCAGACCCTGACCTGCCTAACAGAGGCAGCCTGCCATACCATGGGGCCCCCAGTGTCAGACTCAGGTCCTCACTGTGAGTCTGGGTGTATCTTCAGGCACCGGCTGCTCACACATTCTTTCCCTTCCTACCCTCTGGCAGAGGGTCAGGTGGCCTTTGCATTGTAGGAGAGTAAATGAGATGGGGTGTGTGGGAGTGGGGGAAGCTGAGCTCTGGGTAGACAAAGCACAGAGCTGCCTTGTCCACCCGACAGGTGCCATGGCAACCAACAAAAGCCCAATTGTCCTGTGTCCACTGGGCCTTTCCAGGGCTCTGGGGTCAGAGTGTTGGGGAACTGTTTGTAGGTTTTGGATGTGGGAGGAGGGCACTGCAGCTAGAGAACCAGCCTAGGCATGTCAGAATCTGAAGGCCCTGAAGAGACCCCCAGGCCCAGTTGTCTGTTGTCTACATGGGGAAACTGGACCTTCTAAAGGGTAAAAACTATGGACTACGAATGAATTACGAGGTTCCAGCTCAACTGAGGGCTCTGTCCATGTGACTGGGGCAGGGGAGGGGGTCACCTTTGTATGTTCAAAGGATCTTACCCTCCCCCCCCAAAGTGGGGCAAGAGTCTGGGTGAGGGAATTAAATCTAAAATGTAGGGGCTCATCTCCCTTTTTCCAACCCTCCCTCATAGTGTGGTGGGGTTTGCTTTGCAGAGCTTGGAAGACTGCGCTGCTGGAGGCGAATTCCACCCCGGTGAGCCCCGATTCCCTCCTTCTCTCCTCCCCACCCCTACCTGCCATGGAATCATGGGTGATTCAGACTCGGTCTCCGCCTGCCAGGAGTTCTCAATTCCCATATACAGTCAAACCTTGGTTTTCAAATGACTCCCATCTGGGACAATTTGGTTCATGGGAAAAATGTCTCGGTCCTTGAATAAAACTTCAGTTCTGGCCCTGACAACCCTTTCATGCTGATACATCAGCATGCCAGAATGCATCTCTCAGGCCACAAGCAAAGGAGAGAATTGGAGTCTACTGCTAAACCTTGCATTGTTAACATCTCAGGAAATTGTGCTGTGAATATTTTTTGTGGGTTTTTTGTTTGTTGGTTGGTTTTTGCTGGCAAAATGGACAACTAGCACAATTTTAAAACATAAAGGGGCCATCAAGAGT